CGGAGGGTGGCTGGGCACCAGTGGAAGGCTACGGCGGAGAGCTGTAGGGCTCAGGATCGTGCGGAAGGGCAGAGGGACGGTGACGAGGATCGGAGGACTGGGAAGAGAAGGCGGGCAACAAAGCGGAGGAGGGAGTGAGAACAGGAAAGGAAGAAGGGGAGATGGAAGGGCGAAGGGGTAGACGTCAGAAGGAGCATCGGATGACGGAAGTGTGTGGGTTGGAGAAGAGAGAGGAGCAAGCGAAGGTGGAGCAGGGAGGCCGGATGAGAAAAGGGACAGGGCGAGCGCTGACTAGCGTAAGGCAAAGGCGGAGAACTGTAGGGTTCAGTGCGGAAGATGGGAGAGACAGGTCAGCAAAGGAAGAAGGGGAGATGAAAGGATGACGGGGTTGAAGAGGCCAGACGGAGCAACTGATGAAGGAAGAGAGCGGGTCCGAGATGCGAGTAAAGGTGGTGCGGGACGGAGGGTGCAAGGGGCAGGGCGCGCGCTGACGGGGCAGAGCAAGAGTGGCGCTGCCGGCCGCGAACCGCCGCGGGCGCGTCCACTCACGTTCTCTCCGCTGACGACAGTCCGCTGGCACGTCGACGTGTTGTGCGTGCACTTGTTCTCGTACACGCACCAGTTGCACGCCCACTGGCAGCGCACGCACTGCATGCACGTCGTGTGGCGGCCGCAGTCGTAGTAGGCGAAGTTGCGGCTCACGAAGTCCTTGTTGGTCTCGGACGAGCGCACGGACAGCGGCACCAGCACGTGGTCGCGCGCCTCCGGGATGGCCGGGCGGCCGGCGACGGGCGGCGTCGGGCACGACAGCCCGAACGCCGTCACCGCCGCGTCGATGGGCTCCGCCGCGCCGAACACGCACTTGTAGTTGGCGCCAGCAGGCAGCTCCGGCAGCGTGCGGATCGTCAGTTGCACCTGCAAACACACAGCCAGGGACGGATTTACTAACAAGCAAAATAAAACTTTTTTAGGGGCCCTCTCTACGCGAGGGCCCCGTGGATTCCGGTAAAAGTTTCATAAAATGTTTCATTTCATGGCATAAAATGTTTATTTTTTACTAATTTGTTATTGCCTTCGATACACGGAATTCGATATACTGCAAGTGATAGATAGATAGATAGATAGATAGTTAGATAGTTAGAGAGAGAGAGAGAGAGAGAGAGAGAGAGAGAGAGAGAGAGAGAGAGAGAGGAGAATTATGAGAGGAAATGATGAAAATGAATCATGTGAGGGAAATATGAAAAAACCAATCAAGTCAAGTTAAAATCTAGTTAATAAGCAATAAAATAAATCTTAATCATTAAAAGTAGGTAAAAAATAAAATCTTGCATGTACCACGAGCTTAACTGGTTCTAATAATCTGGGGTAACAAAAGGCCCGAGGACTTTTGGCTCAATCACTAGAAGCCTTATAACGCCCTGGTTCCTGAATAACTATTGTATCTGTAAAACGATGTTGTTTTTCATTTGAATTTTTACAAAACGTTATTTTAGTACAATTGTTTTTAGTAAGTATGGAGGAATTTTCCCGGAGGGGGACTCCATCACGAGTTTGTGCTTCGGAGCCCTGCAGTACCTAAATTCGGCCACGCCAGCACCGGGTCAACCGCTGCTGCTATCTAGCGTGCGATCGAACAACTCATACAAATCTTTCGGAATGTGTGTCGACAAATGTGAGGAAGCCAACAGAAATAGAATAATACTTCTAGTCCAAGTGAATGGAGGCATCGAGAGGCCAAGGAGTAATATGCACTTATATTTTTAAAAAATTAATGTGCAGAAGTGTATATTTAAAAGATCCAAGGATTGTAAAACGTGACAATAATGCTGCGATATAAATATAAACATTTCACATTTTTTCAAGAATTAAATACGGCCTGAAATTAATGAACTTCTCAAAACGGGAAAAGCATCACTTATATTCCAAAGCAACTCGATGCCTCAATCAAGTTTCACACTCATTTCTGAAAGCAGCAAGTGAATGTTCTCATCAATAGCCTATTCGGCTACGGTTTGTCACCATTGATCAAATATCAACTACAGAATTTTATGCTTAACTTGATAAACGATGCTAGAAAAGCACAGTCCATTATTTATAATTCAGTGTGAGTTTCTCATGGAAATTACTATATTCAGTTAATCCCAAAAATGAAATTGCGATATATAAAACCATTCTGAAAACAATTCATATTTATTGGAATCAGACTTTATGATCCAAGGGAATTACACTACCGATGAGTGTGTTCATTGCTTGTTCCAGAATATAAAGTGGTTTACAAACTATGAAATATAGAGCAATTCCTTTCCGGTTTTCTAACCCCAGCCATTTGGCAAAGTTTAAATCAGTTATAAAATCGATGATGATTCATTTCATTTTACAATCTTCAATTTCAATTATCGAGACACAACTAACAAACACATCTTTGTTTCGTACCAATCCCCAATACAATTTACAAGCAAAAATTGAAATAGCATTTCCCTTGATTATGAAAAACCTCCCTTCGTACTATTGTGTCACAAACGTATTGTAACGAGGTGGCAATGGTGTAGGATTAATCAATAAAAGTGAACGAGCCTCCTAATGACTGCAGTGACCTCTATGCTTGTAAATACGCCTAACGTAGAGCCACACACGTATTAAAAAATCTCGAACAAATCAATATATACCTCGATTCGAGCAGCGCACGACCGTTCGATAATTCCGGAATTGAGCGCAGTCACAGACAGAGTCAATCTTACATTGCACAACCCCCTTCCTTGTTAGAGAAGACGAGACAATGGGCATTCGAGACGAAAAAAATGTGTTGGATCGTGTCATTTTTTTCGCTAGTGATGAAATCATCATTAAATTGCACGATACGAAAACACGTAATATTCACAAAATAATTAACATAATGATATTTTAAAAGTATTACGTAATTCTGAAATTCTTTCCGCGTATTATAAGAAAAAGTGACAGAACCCAATGAATACAACATACAACAGGTTTTACACTAAGAAGTGCCGAGAAATGTCAATCTTACGAAACGCACTTTTAAGACCGAAACAATGAAAATGATGAATCACAAACAGTCAACGAAAAAAGAGGATCTCAAACATTATACCAATGACGTTTTTGAAGTTACTTAAAATATTTATCTGAAAGTAATTTGTGTTATTAGCATCCCTGGCAAAATGTTCTGCTTGGTAACAAAATACCATTTGAATATTATGACTCTGAACCCTTCGCATATTTCGGGGGAAACAATAAATATCGAAAGAGTAATAGTCTTGAGTAATACGCTAAAACGATACCCTAATTGCACAGTTCTGCAATATAGATTCAAAATCACCATCTCTATGTTCTGTTACTAAACTATGCAATTGCTTCTTCGAAAAGACAAAGTAATGGCAGTATAATCAGCACAGACCCAACAATGTCCAGAGTTTTTAATTCCCTAATGTATTAGTTCATCGACCGTAGACAGTCAAGCGGCACGTACTATTTAATTCTCTTTCGTGTCTCTATTCCCTCACTTGATGGGTCATTACCTTAAATTACAGAAAGTTTGTTTATAAATATAAGATGAAACTCCGAAGGTTATTGATGAATGAAAACACAGTATTTCTGCTACTAACTTCGTAATTAACTGTCCATTAGAAATCAACATTCCATTTCCAAGTATGCATTAGAGCAATTACAGTCATTGAAGAAAATCTGGCATTCCAATTTTATTACACTCAATAATTTCAAGTAAAATGTCTACGAAGTGGCAAACTTCACTTTTCATCACCTCGTCCAACCAACCGTAACTGTAGCAACGTAAGTCAGCTACGTACAAGTATTACTGGTAGTTTTACTAGCATGTAATGGTCGCAAATCAATAAAACATATGAGGGAAGCTACCAAAACTGATAAGGTGAATAGTTCAATACGTTTACTTTGGAATATCATATGTGAGCTGGCGAAATCGAGTTAATAACAGAAAAAACGTGGTACAAATGCATGGCTTCGAGATCCATTATTCAAATTTCAATAACTACAAATAAAACACCAATGTTTTCTAGCGTAAATTAGAGTAAATCAGTAGTTATATTTATAGCAAATTTTACATTCATGTGTCAGGTGCCCCGGTGGAAAATCCAAATAAGCAACGTAATCAAGAGAAGAGAGAAATAATAGAACAAACAGGTTGTATTCTCTCGTTTGCTGTGAAATTAACACATATTATTGAGACCACTATCGTTTGGAGAAATAAATATCTTAGCTTTCTGTAAAACTTAGTTAAAATATATCGATTGAAGCAGTATAGCTCAAGCTCTTTATTTAATAAAATTGTTGATCAAGAGAGAATTGTGGGGGTTTGTAAATACCAACATTTACTGTTTGCTTTGGAGTAAACTTCAAGAATTTAATGCCCTTAGCAACAGCATCTAATATGATAGACAAAAGATAAACTACAAATATAATAATAATAATAATAATAATAATGATTATAACAATCATAACAATAATAATAAGGGTAAAAAAATTGTCAGTCTGAGAAAAATGACTTCCTCTTTGCATCAGTACACACTTTTCGCTCGTCCTCTATGATTAGATCACGTTATTTGAAAAATAGTTTGCTATTAGCTGCTGAGGATGAAAAATACTTCCCGAAACTAGTTTAATATTTTGTGAACGTTTTATAAATATTGTAAATAAATATAATATTTTTTACACAATTGTGTTTGATAATATAATTTCTTTCATCTTCAATATGAATTATTACACGTCTAAGACAGGAAATGTAAAAAATCTACTTTCTTTGTGAAACAATCAATAGAAAAAATCAACAAAACTTCTGAACTGAAGAACTACACTTTTCGGACATTCACACAGTCCACAATGGCTAACATTCTACGTATCCATTGACTTTCGTTTACCTCGTAAATCTACAATTATTCTCATCGGTAAAGAGTACTGACTTTTATTCTCAGTCGCAACACTTGCAAATGGGAGAGGGTGCTGAACCCGTCGACCACCGCCGCCGCCGCTTCCGTAACTTGCTTGTAACTTGTGATGAGGCCTGTCGTTGATTTCAATACGCACTGCCCAATGAACAGCCTTCCGCTGGGCTCCTAATATTCCGCGCTTTGTTTTCAAGCAATTCATTGTCGATACAGTGCCATTTGAGAGAGGAACGGTAAATAATAGTGCGCACGATTGTGATAGAATATTGAAGATTGACCAGAATTCGAATTACGTAGTACAAACAGTTCTACATTTGTTGTTGTAAACGTGTTGTTGCTTTGAATACAGTTGCTAGAAATACAGCGATATTGCTACGAAACAATAATCTCCGGATAAATGCAGTTCGTGGAAAACCCGATACTCCAATGCGATATTGGTACCCCCAAATCCTTTTTGACGGCGAAAATGCTTAGTACTTGGATCAATTCTCTATTTTCGTACATCATACCTTCCAATTGTTTATGTACGTCCCTACTAGAGTTGTGACGTAGCTACAAGGACATTTTAGAAACTTTCTCATTCTCCCTAACATTCACGTCGATGTTGCTCGTAAGCGCGGGTCTGCCTAAGAACATACTTTTCCAGCGCCATTGTGGCTCGAGTGCCGTCAGTGCTGCGACCGGTAAGGAGAGCAATGGCACCTAGAACCTGCGTTGAACGCAGAAGCCCTAGGCCTATAGAGTAGCACATTCTCTCATACTTAATTTATCGTGGTAGGAATGAAAGTTAGAGGAAGGATTTAGATTTAGGGGTGGTGTTTGGGGAACGGACATCATGCCACAATACAACTGAAAACATTCATCTCTAACGCGGGATCCGAACTCATAGCCTTCGGGTAATTCGTACTTGAGCGCCAAACCCCAAGCCCGTGCGCATCCAGGCCGGATAAATACTTGTAGACTTGTAGACGGTATAATTTTGCAATTCGCGAAAAAAATCGCTTTAGGCCTAGACTTAACAAACGTTTCATAAGAGTTCGGTTAACGAATCGAAAAATAAACCAGAAGAAGGAACTGAGGGTCCAGCATTAGGAAACCAAAGTGAGTAACACAAATCAGCAAAAATGGCCAATGTTTTACAATTGTTTATAGCAGCCCACTGCTAATTCGATATTGAGATAAAAATAGAACAGATTATAGGCTGCAATAGGTATAAAAACGATGCAGAGTAATCAGCAAAAACCGTTAGCAACGTGTGGAACACGAAAAATAAATAGCCACGTCATCCACACATTCTCATTTATTCTTTCGCCAACTAGAACGGAACGCAAAATATAGAGTTCAGCACGTCCCTGGAGAAGTACACGGCTGAACCACGCGATAGCTGGCTTGTTCGCACGCACACATAACGTACTAAGACCTGTCAACATGTGCACACGCACCCCGGCGCGGTATTCACGCAGTCTCGTGTCTTCTCCTCTTTCCTCGGACTGCCCTCTTCCACGGCGGTCCGGCGGTGGCACAGCGCGACGAGGCGCCTCCTCCCCTCCCGGCTCCCTCGGCGCCTGCCTCGCCGTCCTCGTTGTCTCCGTTTCGAGCCTCGTCGCTCCCCTGTTTTCCCTGCTCCTGATGCCAGTGCCACCGCCTCCTACCCACCCACCCGCCACCGACTCCGCCTTCGCGTCTCCGGCGCCCCATGCATTACAGGTTATCCCGCTCTTTATCCGCGCCCGACGCAAACACGCAGGACAGGCGTCACAGGGCAGGCGCGACAACCCCAACGAGTCGCCTCGTGGCCTCGCCGCCGCGCCCGCCGCTTCCTAGGTCTGCTCTGGATAAACTCTGTGCTACTCCGGTCTGCTCTGCCCTAGCGAGAGCACTACACGCGCCGTCTACGCACCGCCTGCAACACCACTCATCGCCGTGTCTGCTCCACGCGATACAACAATCATCGGGTAAGATCTACTAACGCCACCTAAAATTAGTAACCACTGCGGACTAAATAATTCTATAAAGCAATGCAGTCCTTACGCCGATTTAAAAATGTAATGCGTACTGCAATATAAAGAAATTGGTATATTTGTTGATATAACTAACGCCCATAAATGGAGTCACAAGAAGAAGCGACCTTTCTTCTGACCAGTTTTACACTGTCCAAATATATTGTTTGATCGTATCCACATGTTTCTCCTTTTCTCTTTTCATTTCTTTCCCCCTATCAAATCTCTGCTACACATGTTCACGTTTCGTCTTGATTCACCGAGAGGTCCGCCGAATATCGCTCCATATTTCTTTTTCTATCGTCAGAGTTTTACACATTGTCTCATCTCATTTAAGGTATACGTTCGTCTTAATTATCATCATCATCATCGTCGTCATCATCAAAGAGAATTCTGAATCACCTCATCCTTCCAATCAGAAGACTGGATCTGTCTTCTGGCACGTGTCTTGTTTGTCTACGAGCAATGAGATTCTGTTTCTACCCCAAACGCTCGACCGTGCTTACACCCATGCCTCTGCCAATGCTTGGCGTCTATAGGCAACCATTACCACCCGTCAGCGTCTGTGCGGCCCGCCTCGCCTCCCACAAAAGCATCTCATGCTGCGCCCCCTTCCCCTCCCACCTCGCGCTGTCTCGCTCCGTCACACACAGCGCCGCGTCTCGCCCTCGCATCGCCGTCCTGCCCCGCCCCGCTTCACCCCTCCGCCACCCGTCTCCTGCCGCCCTGTCCGCTCCGCTCGCCTCCGCCGTGGTTGCCGCCCCGCTTTCTGCTTACGTCGCACGCGCGCCCTGTCGCTCGGGCCGCTCTGTTTGCTGACGCCCCCGCCGCGCCCCGCCGCGCCGCAGCATCACGGGTTTATCCGGCCGTGTGTGCTCTCGCCTGCTCGTCCACGCGTCCAGGTGTCGCCTGCCGAGCGGCCTTGTATCGGCTTCTTCGTGTCCACACGTTCGTCAGCGTGTGGGGAACACACTACGGTGCATGTACATATCTTCCGGCTGTGCAACAGCAAACCGGTTTGTTGCGTATGCCTACTCGACATCCTATCCCTACGTTACCTCTGGCTCATACGTCCGTTTATTTACGCGCTTTCAAGGCTGGTCGTATATGCCTGCGAGCGAAAGCTAATTAGTTAGCGGCGTGTCTGCGAGTGTATCTATGTGAGTTGTAGGCTCATTCGTCTACCGTTTCATGCGCCTTATACATAAATTTTAACGGCCAGCGCACTTCGTTACCATCAGGACGTTCTTCGTTCTCGGCGCGGGAATCGCGATTCGAAATTTCAGTGTAATTCGCCACAGGGAGTGTTACTTTAGCCTGGCCGACGGCCGGCGCCGCGCGAACGCGCGTGGTCGCGAGTTCCAACTCCAACAGGGCTACGGCATGCGAGGCGGTCGCGCTGAATGAGGTTTATAGCCTGGATTTGCCCCCAGGGACTCCATAAATACGCCGCTCTGGTATCCACCCCATTCCCACCAACCCCTTTCTTCCGGATGCCTGCTATTCCTGGAGCACGCCCTCTTCCAGCAGCATTTCAGCGGAAACAATACCTAGTGCAAACAGGCCGCGACCAACGCGTGACCGACCCTTCTTCATCCTTTGGCTTATGGTCGGGCAAGCAGGGTAGATTCAAGGGGCATCATGAGCTTCACGCTCCCTACATGACCTGATAATCAAAATGCGCCAGAATGTTTTCGAGACAGTACGAAAAGGGAAGGAAATAATTAAACAATTTTTAATTGAATTTAATTGACAATCTGCTTGAACTTCGGAACAGAAAGGTTCTAAATAGCGATATTGATAGTGGAAATATTTTCTTGACAATTAATCGTTCTTTGCATAGTATTATTTTATTTCATCTAACATTTATTGAAAATATTGGTGATCGTTATTTGGGCAAAAACCAATAAAAGTGAAATTTTAATAATGAAAGCTACAGTGAAAAGAACTAGAAGAACAAATATTTCTGACACATTTGCAAATCAAGATTACATTAATCATATAATGAAGTAGAACACATTAATATTTTTAATCAATTCCTGTTCGACAATGGCAAACTATTATTGCTCTCTGAAAGGTTTTGCTAAATACTCCCCCGCTGTGAATGCTCCGCTAGTTACCGAACAGGCTGGATGATGTGGCGAACATCTTCGGCGCAGCCTAAACATTGTAGAGGACTTTGTGAGTCATGGTTGTTTGCTTTGCTGTAAAGAGAAGTATAAGCCCATTGAGGGTAATCGATGACCTGTACGGTTAAGGTGTACCTTGCCAAGTCTCTTATTCTTTTCGTTTTACACACATTTGCACACTACAGCGCAGGCAACAGTTCTTCACGCACTTGAAATCCACGCGGATCACACAAATTAATGATAAACTTATTCGCTGATTTATGATCATACCATTTTAAGAGACAGTACAAAATAGATGGAAGGAACCTCACACAAAAATCCGGTGTTATTTCTTCATCGGTTAACATTAATTTTAAAAGCGAAAACATATTCATCGAGGGTTTTTAATTTTATATCTTATATCATCCTTTTGTTTTTTAATTAAAATTTTCTAAGCAATTAATTGAAAGAGCAAGTATGTATAGGACTCTTCATAAACCAATCTTTCTTCTTTGGCATCTAATACGAGCCTCAAACACGTATATCTTCTTCCAAATTAACTCCAAACCTACGAGTTTGGTACTTCGTATTCCTATACATCGCTACCATCAAGAGGATAATATGTTCGAACGCTAAAAGTCTCATTAGAGAAGCCAGATTTTTTCAATGTATCGGGTAGTCGGATGGCAGACACGCATACGGAAACATCTATTTCAATTATATTGCCTCGTATATTCGCTTGAATATCCACAATTTGCCAGTGGTTCGGCGAAAAGGAAAACGGGACATTTCATTTCAGAAATGGGTCCATCTGGTCGCAGTAACTGTCGAAAGTAGGTGGATATGACTTCTCCGCACAAGTGGCTCGCCGTAAGAAACGTCTAACACGCACCGCAGCGGGCGCGTCGAGCGGGGACGGGGTCGGGAACGGGGAGGGGAGGGAAAGGGAGGGCGTGGGCGGGGCAGGGGGGCAGGGGGGCGGAGGGGAGCCGAGCGGCGGGCAGAACCGGTCCAGCGGTCGGACGCGGGGCGTCCAAAGCGGGCGGCAGGAGGGCGGGCGGGCACGCGGCAGGCGCGGGCTCCGACACCCAGACCGACCCTCCCAGTCCACGAGAAGGTGACCACTTGGGCCGGCGCCATGCCCCCTCGGTGGAGAAGGAAATCACGCGCCCTCCCGAATTCAGCGCGAGAAAATCCGTGACATTATAATCCTCTGGTACAGCAAAAATCGATAACGGGCTAAAAACATTGGGACAAGCTGCTATAAATAAATGTTCTGAACCTGAACTATGCTACCCCTTTCCCCTACATATGCATGCACTCATATTTCATCAATGTAATATCGTGCTCGTAATAAATTGTTAAACAGATTTTCGCAATCTCAATTAGCTGGATAGTGGTAAATAGCGTAACTCTAGTGGAAATATTAGCAGGCATGAGACCAAACAATTCAACAAAGAAATAAAGCATCCCGCAATTTTGTTCACTCTTTCAGCTTGTAGCACATCGCATTCGTTAGAATTTATTTTCCGTTGAAATATCAAAAACATTCTCTTGATATATCACTAGAAATATTCGTTTGTACGCACAAAATGAATTTCATTGAAAGGAGGACAGAGAATAATGATGTAATACCGAAAGAGCGGTATTACAGGCGTGTGTCCGGTTGATGTTCACGGCACTATTTCCATTAACAAGAGCGCCATGACGCGTTGCCTGGTTTTGCAGGTATCCATTTCGATTTGGAGGTGCGCTCCCATCGCGTTGCAAAAGACCGGTAGCAATCTAAAAGCCCGCGTTCCGGCAGCATGTACCCGCGCATAGCGCTCTTGCGCGCACCCCTGGAACCCCCAGCGTCATAATTTCACCAACGAATGACACACGAATATATTTTAGAGACCAAACGAGTGACGTGACAACATGTAGAGATATGTACAAGTTGTTCGGCTACCATGACTCTGTCAACCTCGACATTGAAAATAAAACCTGGCCGGTGGCACGGTGAAACATTTCAAAGCGGAGTTCGCTTCGGCCGACGTCGCTATCGGGGGAATGGAACTTATCACGGCGCTCAGCAGGTAAGTGTCTGCTGCCCATTAGCATTGGAACGGCCGCTCGAACCAAATTATACAAGGTATCACGTAAAGGTATCATGTAATCGTATAATAGCGTAATTTGGTGGTGTATCGCATAAAGGCCTCCGCCGGCTCTGTGCCGGCAGCATTAGTGGAAACTCTCAGGCAAACTGGCCGAGAAGTTGGTCGCCTTCGTTTTACTCTTGGTGGAAGTCGCCCCCTGAGACAGGGAGCGGGCGCGGCGCGAGAGCGTGCTAAAGACGTGAGAAAGGTCAGGAAAGAAACAGTCGGGATGCGTGCGGCGCGCCCAAGCCATGGCCTTTCAAGAGGGCTATTTAGACGGGGACAATTACTGTCCTTTGACTAAAGGCGTAACTTTACGGGAAAGGACTTGTGATTCAGCAGCTAGTAGAATACATAAACTGAAAAAGTCAACCCTTAATGCACTGCTTCTTAAATTCTCCGCATTCTTTATTGAATGTTTCTTAAAATATGCAATACACATGTCTTGTGCCCTTTGTGAGTGGATCAATTCAATATTTGACAAAGAATTGAAAGCGTAAGTGAGAAGCAACAGGATTTTTCAGTTATATTTAAATAATTACTACATAAATATTTGTTCATCCACAACACGTATGTTCGCTTGAATCAAATGAATTCAGCAAATACAAATGTTGCGATTTTAAACAGAATCACAAAATTATTTTATACTAGTTGCCTGCAGGATACAAAATGTTGCTGAAAAACAACAACACACAAAATACTTTGC